CTACACCTTGTTATCCCTGGGTGAATTTGAACCTGGATCTCTAGAACATTACCTAAGTCTCCGGATTAATAGTCTAGTGATAATTCCACTAGGCCATCATCTCTCCTGCAACTCTGCTGGGGTTCTGCCTTCAGTTGCCTAGACACCAAACTCTGGAATTTCATTTCTTCTCCGCTCTGCCTCTATGCCTTGCTTTCTTCCTTTAAAGATGTTTGTTAAAACTTATCTCTTCGACTAAGCTTTTAGTCATGTAGCATATTATCTCCTTATACGGCTCAGCGTCAGATTTCAATTTGTAATGCTTCCATTGAACACCTTTGGAATGATTCACATTGTGAAAGGCGGAATAAATCTAAGTTGTTGCTCAGTAACTAGAATGATGTTGATGCAGGCTACACTCTTGGCAGTGTTGAATGCTTTCAGTTTTGTGTGGCTGAATGTTGCGCGGATGACTTGTGACTTTTGAAACTAGCTATTCCTTGTGCCTTGTATCTAATGGACGAAACTTTGAAGGGCCAGAAAGTGAGCCATTCATCGCTGAGTTACCAGCCTCTGTCCAGCTTTGTGTGCATACAGTCAGACCACAATATAATGACAGAAGGACGGCAACCTGTTATATTTACCCGCAGGTTTTGGATTGCCATTAGTATTTCAACATGTACAAAGCAAATGTTGATCCATTTGCCTCTCAGGCAGTTGCCAAATGTTGTGTAATTAAATCAATGTTACCAATTATGTAATCTAATTTTGAATATAACAGCATATTTCAATGGAGATTTTTTTAAATGGAATGACATTCCTAGAGAAAGGAGCTCCACGTGGAATGTTTTCTGTTTCATTGGAACTGTCTATTTGTTCATTACATAAAGGCAAATTATAAAATGATATTTATGATTCTTGAATTCTAGTACCTGGCCCCATACCGAATGATTCTTTAAAAGGAACACCATTTGAAGACAAAATCTTTCTGCAGTGGAAGGAACCTGTGGAAGCAAATGGTGTCATCACACAATATAAGGTAATAGATTTGATTACTCGGTGACAGAGTTTTGCATCCTTTACTCCCATTTACATTTTGTAATGTGCACATTCAAAACTGACCAAATCTCAGCTTTCAACCTTAGCAGGCTGATTCCTTACATGGTCCATTCATACTTAGCAGAGAAGTTGTCCGTCAGGGGAGCTGGAATCTTTTTTATAAAAAAAAAGGGTGGTTTGGGGCTCCCAGAGGGTTATAGGAATACAAGTGTAGTTAGAGAGCTGCAGCTCTGTGACTGGCTGCCAGGCTTAGGATCTTCTGACTTCTGATAGTGCCACAGCAGCCAAAGCGTCAAGGTCATAAGATCATTGAGAGAGACTGCACTGGAGGATTTCACTTACCTACTCAGGCCTCTCTTGCCTTGCCACCTGACTTCCTTAATACCACTGTGTTGAAAATCCAAGTATAAACTTCTTCAGAGAAAGTGTCAAAACTGTGACTTTTATGTCTCAAAGAGAAGAGACTGGATTAGCAGTGTATGCGACACCTACCTCCACTACCTTGGCATCTTGGCTGTCCTTGTTCTGCATCCATCTATCTGGAGTCCCAAACTTGTGATGTGAGTCAGTCAGACATTACAGTATAACATAATGGGAACCTAATGTAAATGGTTTGTCTTCAGCATGTCCACTGTACCTGAAATAGTCCTTAGATACTACAACTGTGACCATTTGGATATGAATTTATCATTTTAATTTTCAGCAAGTAATGAATCTACATTGTTTTGATTAATCATAGAATTACTAGTTATGTACTTTTTTTAAACTTTTTTTTTGTAGCAATAGCCATCTCACAATAAACATTGACTGTATTTGTTTGGCTATAACTGTGCCAGAAGGGATCAAAAATAAGTTGTCTAAATGTTATTTTATTTACAAATACTGTATTAGATGAAAGCAGGAAAACATTCCATTTTTTTAACATGATCTTTCCTTACGGGCGGTCACTGGCTAGGCCAACATTTATTGCCTGTTCCTAGTTGCCTTGGAGAAGATGTGGTGAACTACTGCTAAAGACTGGCATATGCTGCAGATGCTGTTATAGTGTTTGCTAGGATTTTGATCTAGCAACTGTGAAATATTGGCTATATAACCCCATTTAAATTGCACAAATCCCAAGCTCTTGTTTGCTCAGTCACCCATCGCTTACATAGAGGAATTTTTATTGTGCCATAAACAAAATGGTCATTTTATTTGTTCTGTTATTTTCATTGTGTCTCTTTAAGTTTTGAGAATTATTCCACTTTCCTTGCAGTTATAAAAGTTCTCCCTGTTAACATACCACAACTAAAACATCATTTTCTTTGTCTAGAGTTTTTTGTTACAATTCAATGCATCATCTTATTTTTTCTGATAGAACTGCTCCCAGAATATTTCAAAATTAAAATTTTTGTGAAATATTCTTACTCTTGATTCATGATGCATTCTGATACTTGCTTATTTCAACATTGTTTAGTTTATTATTTTATACAAAAAACTGTGTGGAATCTGTATTCTAATAAATTTGATTTATAACCAGAGAGGTATCCTGGTAGCTTGATGCAAAGGAGGAAAGTATCTTCTATTCTCAATGTGTGTTGGGGCAAGGCAGTCAATGATCAGCCCCAAAAACTTGTTGATCTCTCACCAAGCCTAGCCCTCACTGGGGTAATTTTTGTCTTTAGTGACTGATGGAGTGGGTTACCTGCTCATTGCAACATCATCATCAGTTTTTATTCCATCCTTTTCAAAGGAATCGCAAGCATGTGAACAATCTGTCACCTCGGCATTGAAGATGAAAGTTTAACCCTATGACATTTTTAATCTGTTCATAATTGGAGGGTCCGTATTTTCTTTAATTCCTTTTTCTCAAACTTTATCTCTGTGCTGGTTACTCCCATGAAGGAATAGGGGCAATACCTTGAAGAAAATCTTTGCTTAAAAAAGTGAGGGAGAAATAGTTCAAACAATTAATTTGCAGCATTTCGGAATGCTTTCGCTTAAAAATCTTGAGTTAGACGATTTTCTTTATAATAAGGTTGTCCCATTGTATTTCTATTCCAGATTCGTTCTTCCAAAATACAGCAATTGTCACTTTCTTTTCCTATATTAAGTTTCATCTGTCTTAGAATTCTAATATCTGCTGACAGCTGGTACTATCCTGCTCCTGGTTGGCTACATTTCTGAGTTTAGTCTATTGTGAAAATCTCAAAATTATGCCCTTTATACGCATGTTTATGTGCTTAATATATCTCAAAAGGAGCAGAGGTCCTAATAACCTTGGAATTCTCTACTGTAAACTTTAGTCTGAAAATCACTGCAACACGGCTTCCTTTGTGTCTCAATCAATTTCTTGTCCATGTGACTGCTGTCCTTTTAACCTTTAAAGCTCCTAGTTTGCTAACAAGTCTATTATATGGCACTTTGTGTATATGGACTTTCAAAAGTCATTCCACAATGCCAACCATATCAACTGCTTGAACCCCTTTTTGTTGCTTCATTAAATAACTTGATCTTTTCACAAGTTAGATCAATTCAAAAATGTTAAAGATTGGTAAGAACCTGTTGCAATTTTCTATTTTCTATTTGGCAGGGAGGAAACCTACCTAGTTTTATTTTTGGTTTCTTAATGTTTGGCAGATCAGTTACAGCAGCATCAGATCTTTTGACCCAGCTGTCCAAGTGGCTGGGCCTGTTCGGACAGTGCCAAAGATGTGGAACAGTACACACCATGTTTTCTCACATCTGAATCCTGGAACTACCTACCAGTTCTTAATTAAAGCCAGTACAGTGAAGGGATTTGGCCCAGCTATTGTGGTCAACATCACCACAAATATATCTGGTAGGTATGTCTGTTTTTAAGGAAAACGGAAACAAACATAACAGTGCTTGTGTAAGTTGATTTGAGTATTATAATTTGTGTAGGACCAATGAAAAGTGTCTTTGAAATAATGTCCAAGCTAAGCATGCACACAATATTTACAGTATATATTTAGGCTAGAATGTTTAATTTTGAAAACAATCTAAGGAAATGTCATATCCGAAATAAAATTAGTTATATTAAGTGCTGAACAATTTGTTTAAAACCAACAATATTTTTTGTAATTTGATAATTTCTAGCATTACATTTTGTGTAATTATTTATATTACAAAATTATTGTAGTGATCAATAACTTTTAAAAACATAGTTGAATTTTGTGATTTACTAGAAAGATCGTATTTCACGTTTTAAGATTTTTACTGTACCAAACTAAAAGCAACATTGGCTACACCCTATTTCAATTGGCAATTTATTATCTGAACTACAGAAAAAGTTCCCTACTTAACCTTTAAAATGACCACTAAATTCCACCACCGTTATACATTAATCTGTCACTTAAGTGAGAATTTCATCCTTCAGGAACCAGTTTAAATATATGATCAGCTCTAGATTGCATGTTCTATTTTCATTCTTGGTCCAGATAACTTTCAGTTCCCTAACTGACTTTCTCCCTCAAGCCAATTTTTGCAACCTCCTTTAAACCCTTAAAACTTGGTCAGCTGCATCTGATATGAGCCCCAACCAGCACAAATATTGTTGTTATTATCATTATTCTCTCTCCCTGCCCCCTTGGCAATATAAATCACATGGGCCTTGTATCTAGGTATAAATGCTGATCAACTATCTTCTACACTACCCCCCATAAAATTCTATTTTGTTTTGAAATTAAGTGGACTACTTTGCACCATTTTCATTGCAAGATCCAAATTCACCAATCAAACAACCCAATCGTATTGTTGAGCAGTATTCAGAGCAGGTCATGTGACCTCCTTCATTCCTCTATCTTACTCTAAAGTAAAAAGACAACTCCAAAACATCATAATCATGTAAACATTGCATTTTTAACACATTTCAAAGATTATTCGTTTTATTCCTTAAAACAGAGCATTTTACTACATTATTGTTTGGTTTTACAATTAAAATGTATCACATCTCGATTTACCTTAAACATTAGATTGCAGTTTATGCATTGTTTAGTCACGTTTCACGTTCAGAATGTGCAAACTTGGAATGAAAAATAATGTCACAAGCAAGCTTGTCATTTTCAGAAATTTAGGAAACATTAGTGAACGCCAAAATCATATCTGTTTGAGTCTGAGGTTAAGGCATTCTACATTTCTATAAAAAATTGCATAATGCTCTTTGTGAAGCTAATGCTTTGATCCAAAGAAACCAAAGCTCTTGAATGCATAGTCAACTGCCAAATTACAAACTTCAAACTATGAAGGCAACCCTTTTGAATAAAACATTGATAATTTCAATTAACTCGGTGGGTTACAGCCCTTCAAAGACACAATTACCATGTGCTTATCTTTAAAAGATGCCTGGGGCAAAAGAAACATTTAACAGCTGTAATATTATTTCTATTCAACTGCCTCCATTTCTTATTTTATATAATTTGAAGCAGGATAGAACAGAAATGTTACTTTTCTATGACTCATTTTATGAGCTGCATTCTGATATGTCAAAACAATTAGTATCTTTTATTCATTTACTTTGATTAGCTCTAAATGGTAAGACGAAGAACATTTTAAAAAGTAGGAAGCTAAATGGATGGCAGTTTACATTGGATTCTTTGAAAATGCATCACTGTATGAACATTTAAATGATTTGTACATGTTTCCTTACAATAATTTGCAAAATTGCTTAAATATGCATTTTAATTTAATGGGTTGTAAAGTAAAATGATGTACCAATGGCATGTCATGATTCTGGAATGTGCTGAGTTCTTAACTGTCCATTGTGTTTGGGGTAAGCACCGAACAAAGGCAAATTTTCCCAGTGGGAAGAGCACTGCAAATATTTTCTCAAGCAGCTTTTAAGTTCCTACACAGTTGCTTAATAATAGAATGTAAGAATGATTTTTTGTTTGCATCCTGTCCCGAGAAAAAATGTACCCTTGCAATATTAAATAATAGGTTTCAGTTTTTATAATCTGCAAGGACTTTGAATAGAACTATTGAAATTTGCGATAGGGTTAGATTTGTTTCATACAATTAGATTCAGTTCTGCATTTTTAATTTGTTTTAATTAAATCTCAACAGCTCCTATTTTACCTGATTATGAAGATGCAATTCTTAATGAAACAGCAACCACAATAACTGTCATGCTGAGACCTGCTCAAGCTAAAGGTGCTCCAATCAGGTAACTTTATTAGCAGCAAACAATTTCTTCTAAGAATTCACAGGCTGCTGTCTGCTAATGTTATTCATTTTCAAGTGATATTCAGTTGACATTGCTGTCAGGAGGTTTGTTTACTCCATTAGACAAAATGCACAATATAAACCTATAGTTAATGAGAGTACTATCTTCAGGGATTTTATGAACTGAGACCTTTAATGTTTCTCACAGATTCATACAGCATGGTAACAGACCCTTCAGTCCAACCATCCATGCCGGCCATAATCCCAAACTAAATTAGTCCCGCCTGCCTGTGTTTGGCCCATATCCCCCCCAAACATGTCTAGTCTATTTAAGTAACTTTTATTGTTCTGATCATATTGAAATAATAAACTTGAAGGTCTTTTTTAAAATCAATTAAAATCCAACTTAGGTCTTCAAAGATCTGGATCAGTAACCATGCAATTAGCTTTATACAAATTAGAGGTACTACTAGAGAGACCAGAATAAGTAGTGAGGAAAGAATTTTTATGAATTAAAACCATGTGACCTCACCTCATTTAAATATCCCATTTAAAAAATCATGTAGTTCCTATTAAATTTCTCCTGCCCTGTCACTGATGTTTACTCTTATATTCCACGTAATGTTAATTTTTAGTGGCAGTGGCTTGTCATCAGATCAAAGGACTAATGAGAAATAATTTGTTGACTTCAGTTTCTTTCATGCAGCTATTAATATGGTCTGAATACTCCATTTGTAGACACAGTTCTTGATTTTTAGCTGCCTGCTTATTAAATTTGATGTTGCCAAATTTGATTGAAATGCAATTTTCTTTTCAAAGAAAATGGGAGTGCAAAATTTCATTTGCAGACACAAACCGATATTTTTTCAAGTATTTTGACTGACAATTATCTAAACCCTTATTCATAGTGACAGGACAATTCTTCCCCTACCCCCCCACCATATTCTCCAAGGGTACTGATAATGCATTTCTTGGATTGATTGGTAAGGCTTCCAGAGACTCATTTAAAACTCACGGAAGTCACATTTAAGGGAAAGTGGCAGTCAAGTTGTTTGTAAAGTTACACCTTTGCTACAAAATTATGCAGGTGAACTATCCTCTGCTGAATTGATAGGAGGAGTGGACTTGTATGTTTTATGGACAATTGCACCCCTTAACATCATTTGAGGGGAATTTTAAATTAGCTACCGTTTGCTTAGTGGGTTCAGTGTTTTTAGTCAGTTGTTCCTTCATTTTTTTTAACCGAATATTCTAAAATTATTTTGCTTTGGAAACATGGTCACAGATTCTCATGAAAAAGAGTTTGGAAGAATGATTTAACTGCGTTTCCTTGCTTTAACAGGCAGTAGACCATCTGCTTCAGTAATTTGTGATGGTTCATCATTTAGAACCATATAGCAGTGAGATGGTCTATTTTAGTGGACTGGACAGATTTCTGTCCATCTGTGCCCATGTTACGCTATGTCACTTATATTTTAGATCTGGATAGCTCCAAGCAAATATAAATGCAATGTCAAGGTCATAAGATGTATGTGTGTCTCAGTGCATTCTGTCTCCAGTTAGATGACAACTGTAGACAAGCAGTAATTATCCTGCACCACGTGCCAATGAATCTTAGAGGAATTTGTGAACACAATTTTCATGTTCAACCTGCTTGAGTAATGGTATTATTGGTAGCAGTACAAGAAGTTTGATATTGGCGTATGCTTGGAAGGAAATTAAATGTAAAATATATGTGGAAGACCCAAACTAATGTTATAAATATTTGACTGTAATTATACTGTATTTAAGGCAGGACATTACGTGCACCCACCTGGTGTGTTTTGGAAGGGGGCATGCATTTGGGACGGTACCCAGCTTCTTCGTATCCCACCACCAAATTACCCTCATAATAATGTGTAGACAGGTGTGAAATTGAAATTAGAATTAAAGTTGAAAATAATCAATTAAAGATCAAATAAGCTTGACTGAAAGTTCCATTGACTCCAGTATTGCGCTGCCCACACCATAAAATGATTGGTGTGGGCATTCTTTGGAGAAGGGCAATAATGGAATATGATACTGCAGTCATTTGAACTTTCCTGCTTCCCATCCTGGCTAACATTCAATAAGAGCACTTTTTGTGCCTACTGCTGTAGCGCATCAGCCTTCCCTGACCTCTGTCTGGAATTCAGCACTGTCAACTCTTCTGATTGTTTTCTGACATTGCCATGAGTTGCTCCAAATTTTCCTTAACTTCAGGAGAGCTTGTAACATTTAATGAGGTTTTAAGATTGTTGTTTTGGAACTGTCCCCTTAACGTAAGGTAAGCAGGCGAGTTATCATGTGACCTAAAGTCTGCTTTATCACAAACCTGGGATGGTTAAGATCACCAGGATCTTGGGGCAATGATATAAAGTGTTCACAGTCGGAACTAGTGGCAGTAACCTCTGCCTTATTAACAGTCTCCCAAAAGTCCCAGAAAGTTCTTGAAAGTAGAGTTGTAAATCGTTATGCTGAAAGCTGTCCACTAAATTCTGAGTTGAACGAGAGTTGAGGTCTAGAATACCTAATCTGCATTTCCCACCTGGATGTCTATGGAGAAGAGTGCAGAAGCTGCCATTTTTACATTTAGGTTGCAAGCTTCCCTACAAATCAGACAGTACCACAGGGAGACACGGTTGATAAAATTAGCAGGTAGATGAGGCTGCAGATTCTCGGTAACATACCGAACCAGGGGTGGGAGGGTAACAGTTTCTAGTGGAAGAGGCCATTCAGCAGCCATCGAAGCAATCTGGAAGATTCACCCGAGCGTGGCCGGGGCAAGAACAATCAGTGGAGTGGGCTGTACTGCCTATAGTAGATTTAAAACTTGTGAAAACTGAAGGGGGAACCTGGAAATAGTCAAAGTCACCACTTCGTAAAATGGGGAATTATGAACTAATTCGAAGCTGGAACCAACTGTAAGTTCTTTGCCCGAAGGACTCCAATTCTGTACTAAGCATAGAAGAGGGATGTTGCTTTCTGTGGTTTCAAATACTAGCAGCCTTCCAAAAGAACAAAAAGTGTGTAATCGCTAGGCATTTGTTACAGTAAAAGGTTCAAAATGTCATCAATTTCAATAATTAACTGGAAGACTGAATCTCTTTTTAAACATTACCGGTCTGGGTAGGGATTGTAACAGACTGAACCCAGCCCCATTGATCTGCCACTGCAAAAGCTCATTTACTAAGAACATGAGAGCATAAAAAATAGGAGTGGCAGTAGGCAATGTGGACCATTGTGTCTGCTCGGCAGTTGACAAAATCATAGCTAATCTGATATAGTCTTCTCTGCTGTACACTGTTCTCTGCCTGATTCTCCAATCTCCACCACCGCCACCACCACCACCCCCCTCCCCCCACGATTCTTAACTCGCTTGTCAATCACATATATGTCCAATTGAGTTGTTGAACTCTGCTTTCCTATTTTCCTGAGCAAAGTAGCCAACCTCACATTTTCCTGTATTATACTCCATTTTCCAAATTTCATCCACTCACTTCACCTGTCTGTATCCCCTTACAGAAGTGTTATATCCTTCTCATTACTTACTTCCCAATCTGTCATCTTGTTAGCAAGTTTGATTTTCATATAATCCACTTCCTTTATGAAAGTCATTAACATGGGTCATAATTAGTGGATATACCCAGGTCTGATCACTGTGACACTCCACTAATTAGTTTGCTGACCTGAAAATTAGCCATTTATCCTTTTTTGACCCAATCCTCTAAGCATGCTAGTATATAACCCGTGCGCAGCGTGTTGTAACCTTTTATGTGACATCGTATCAAAGGTGTTCTGGAAATCCAAATCCACTATATCTGCTATTTCCCCTTTAAATTCACTGTATGTTACATACTCAAAAAAGTTGAAGTAAGTTAGTCAAACATGATTGCCCTTTCAAAAATCTCTGCTTCATTGTTTTAAGATTTTTCAAAATATCCTGCTACAATCTTTAATAATGGATTCCTACGATCGTCCAAAGACACGTTAGACAAACTAAACTACGTTTTCCTGCCTTGTGTGTCAGATCAGGTGGCTCAGTGGTTGACTTGTGATGCAGAATAATGTCAAGAGTGTGGGTTCAGTTCCCACGCGGGCTGACATTGCTATGAAGGACTCTTCTCCTCAGCTTCACCCCTTGCCTGAGATATGGTGACCCTCTGGTTAAAGCACCACCAGTCCTCTCAATCTAATGAGAGAGAGTTGTGTGACTTTACCTTTAAGTTACCCTAACCTCCGCAGCTTTTCTTTCCATTTGATACCACCCTTAACTTTCTTGTTGGATGGTGCACCAGCTTTTCAGTTTAGCCTCTAGTTGTTCATATTCCCTGAAAAAAAACCTGTTTCTTAGTCTTTCCTGTTTTGTTGTTACCATATATTAATGGGCAACACGGTGGCTCAGTGGTTAGCACTGCTGCCTCACAGCGCCAGGGACCCGGGTTCGATTCCACCCTTGGGCGACTGTCTGTGTGGAGTTGGCACATTCTCCCCCTGTCCGTGTGGGTTTCCATCGGGTGCTCCGGTTTCCTCCTGCAGTCCAAAGATGTGCAGGCGAGGTGGATTGGCCGTGCTAAATTGCCCATAGTGTTCTGGGATGTGTAGATTAGGTGGATTATAGGGGGATGGGTTTGTGTGGGTTGCTCTGAAGGTCAGTGTGGACTTGGGCCACAGGGTCTGTTTCCACACTGTAGGGATTCTATGATCTGGACACTCCATGCCAAATTCTTGTCCAGTCCCAAGGAGATGTCCCTCACCTTGGCCTAGGGGAGATAGCGTGACCTTTTTGGAAATAAACTCTTTGCTGAAGAGAATGATGTTTGTACCCCTAACTATGTTGTCCCTGACGACAACTACATTCTTTTTAACTACCCAACTTTAAGCAGCTTCCAGAACTGTGGTGCTGTGGTTGGTATGTTCATCCTCTCTTCGCCCTCAATTCTTGCCCACACAAGCTGCAAGAGCTCCAAGTCTGCTGGACAA